GAAACATTCAGGGTCAGGTTGGACGGGGCTCTGAGCAACCTGATCTAGTTGAGGATGTCCCTGCCCATGGCAGGGGGGTTGGACTAGATGACCTTTAGAGGTCCCTTCCAACCCAAACTATTCTATGAGTCTATGATTCTAAAAGGATCTTTAGCTTGCTGCTTGCTTTCCAGCCAGTCCCCCCTAGATACTCAGAGACCTTCCATGAAAGAAAGACGACAGAAAAGAGAGAAAAGACAGAAAAGACAGAAAAGACAGAAAAGACAGAAAAGACAGAAAAGACAGAAAAGACAGAAAAGACAGAAAAGACAGAAATGCCCGAGGTACGGCAGGATAGAGGAATGAATGGCTTCCTTAACACCAAGGGATGCTAAGAGCTTACCTTCATCTCCCCAAAGCTTGCCAACTCCAACTCACCAAGAGTGAGGTTATTTAGAACGGAGAGGGGCACTACCTGCTGGCATCCTTGCTGAAACAGGTATTTCTTCCCCCAACACAAACTATAGAAAGGAATGTTATTTTGAGCTCCTTTGAACTTACGTAAGAGACAGATAGTAGTGCCATAGCTCTTTTCTGAAGTATATGCACGAGATGAAAGCGAGATAGGTGTGGAGTGGACAAAGTACTTTCTTTATCACTTGCAGACTGGTTTGTCAAAATCCAACCTGCAATTTCACATATTTTTCTTTCTTTTTCTTTTTTTTTTTTTTTTTGAAGGGGAGGTGGGGCAGAGGGGGTCAGGCAGGAGGTGTTTTTCCAAACCTGTGAATGCAACATTCAGCAGCCAAGCTCAAAAGTTCCTGCTGCTCCTGCAAAAAAAGGACAAACAAGCCCTTTTTATGTCAGCTATGTCCAGCTGGAAATGTCACAGCTTTGTCACAATGGAACAAAGCATGCCTGGTGTCTGTTCTTTCAAAAGGTCTCAATTCAAACAAAAGGAAAATATTCACATCTGGAAGGGGTCGTAGGCAGGGGGCGGGAGTGGAGGAAGCAAAGTTCAGATGGCAAGTCATAGCAGTTGCTGTTTGTCTTGCTGTTTGTCTAACTATTGTACTGCCTGTTCTGGCACTTATCAATCCAGTTAAAGAAAGCAAGCCAAGAGTTAATACAGCAATTTTATTATTGATTGACCTCGGAAGGCCAGATGAGACACATATCTTCACTTTTGCTCCATTCATCATGCTGGAACACTCAGGCTGAGTGAAAAGACCCCGTGTGACCAGTCTGGCAGTAGTTCCTCTTTTTTTCCCCCCCCTCCTTTTTTTAATAAAGAAAAAAGTTATTGTGGTGTATGAAGTCCAAGCTTCCTTTGAAAGTGAAGGTCGTGGTCTTCTAAAGGATGTACATATTGAAATCCTGCCCTTTCCAATGGGTTTATTTGAGCATCTGTTTCTGTAAAGACTAAAACCTACTAATGACTGCAGAGTTGGGAGGCCATATCAGAACTGAGCCAAGTTCTTGAGGAAGATCAAAACTTAAATGTCTAGTGAGATCAGATTAAAGGAAAAGAAAATAAACTTGAGAGTAGGACTTCACTGGCTAGGCATGAAAGACCAACAGTGAGAGTCTGCATTACACTCCTAAACTAAAAGTTTTCTCCTTCTTCAACATTCAGTGCTTCTGAAGATAAAAGTCTCTCCTAGGCTGCCACCTAGCCAGTTAATTTCTTGTATTGTTTTAGGAGCTATTTTAAAAATCTCTTTTGCTCCAGCCCTTACTGCATTGACTCCTCCCTTTTGAGCTGGTACACTGTCAGGAGTTTCAAGAGCGATAAAAACTTGCTGCCAAGTCCCTTTCTTCCCCACAATGTGTTTTATAACCCAGCGAGTAGTTTAGTCTGTCTAAACACTGCACTAGTACACTGCCATCAGTTTCCATGGAGATGATTAACTCCTCCAGAGCCAGAAAGCTTTAGTGTGCTTTTTGCCCTTTCAGCACATGAAGAACATGACAGCATTTACTAAAATCAGCCTGCAGAAACATCACATTTTCCAGACAGTTCTAGCAAATGCAAGGATTTACTTTTGCTTCAACCCATCACACAGAACTGCGGTCTTAACCAAACCTGCATTTAAGTCATCTACTAGAATGAGTCGCTCTTTATCCTTCTGCTTCTCCTCCTTCACATTGCCGTGATGTCTGAAGGCATGACAGCCCCACTGATATTAACTTTTTGAACTACTGTGTCTCTCAGCAAAGTCAAGGCATGAGATATAATGAAAAGTCCAGAACAGAGAAAGGAGAGAGAAAGGAGATTACTTTGAACTCAACCAGAAATCAGAGTAGAAAACAGAAAAACTTTGTGCCCTAAAGTTTAGGAGCACTGTTGTATGAAACTTCATAGTTTACCATACTCCTAGTCACTTATGTGTCTAGCAAAACTATCCTGTCAGTGTGTATTCGTAATACAATTTTATTTAACACCATTTTAAGAAGTTGAATTAAACCGAAGACTACCCTTGATCTAGTATAAAATGACCTATCAGAGCAAGAAAGTAGACCTTCTCCCAAAACGCAGCTAATGAAGGCCACATGCTCTCATCAGCTTCAGCTGTGGAAAAATGGTTTCCCAGTCTCACTTTCACAGAAAGGACAATCTCCCTGGCAGTTGCCACTTAGGTGGCACGCTTGTTGATCCAAACTATGAAAATGGCAACAGAACTTTGAATACTGCAGTTTCCTGGAAGAATTTCCCAGTATAAAACTATTTTATAAATATTTTCCAGGCTATCATCACTGAAGCAAACTGTAACCTTCCCAGCACTTTTAGCATTTAATGGGTTTTTTGGCATTCATGAGCAGACACACTATATAAACAAGACATGAATAACCAGGCATAACTGCAGTTTCTGTAGAAGAGTTAAAGGCCAGAGAAAGATTTTTTTTTGCCGGTAAGCTTGGCTAACTTAAAAGAGCCACTGGCAGGGTTCATAGCAATGGGTGTTCTGCTGCAGTGAGAATTATTTTCTATTTGACCTCCATAGCAGTTGCCAGGTGGATTTCTTTGCAGACTCCACTTGGAGTCAGTACTCTGTGGATATCAGTACACTTTTTACACTGTGCTACTAAGACAATCCACAGAGGTGCAGTAAGACTTTACTCATGCAGTCCACTCAACTCCTGAAGTGACAGCCTGTATTTACTGTTATGTGGACATGTGTCCAGTATTAACTCAAACACCACCACTAATTGATTTCATATACGTTATCACAGGACACTTACCAAGTAGCAACCGTATTTGGTTAACCACCCTTGGCTACAAACAAACCAAAGAACTTGAGTCCAGAGTCTCCATTATCTCTTCCTCTGAGAGATTTTGGGTGTTCTCCTTGTCCCCCATCTAAAGTTAGTGAAGATCCTTACAGATGCTAAAACCCACAGCAGAGAACATCAGCAAGGATCCAATAAAGTGTTTGAACTTTCCAAAAAAGCATGCACGTTCACACACCTCCCACAGCTGCAAAGATCACAACGTAGCACACAGAAAGCGTGGAGACACTTGTTACCTGCTTCTCTAGACCATAGGTGCAGCACCACAAGCCTATGTCAGCCACACCTTTCAACACCAACCACCATGGGCAGTTTCCTGGCTTGAGAGAACTCGTCCTAACCCTGCCTCCTATTATTTGTCACCAGGTCGTGGAGGAAATTTTGGCTGCCCACACCTCCAATTGTGTTTTTGTCTTGCTGTAGGAAAAAAGCCACTCTTATAATTACTGATTTCTTGAAAGTATTTCTTGGAGAGGCTGCCACTGCTGCCGTGGGACAGAGCCTGCAGCCACAGCATGCCTCGCTCCCCGCCACCCCTCAGGAGAACTGGGCGGGGGTCCACCTCTGCTCTTACTAACCCAGGCACATGCGGCAGCTACCAAGCCATGGCTATCTTGAAAGGTCAGGTCACCCCTCACCGGTTTAACCCACCCCACCTCTGTTTTCACTGGGTCACTCCTAGGACAAAGGCTTACTTGTGGTGACAGCCCGACTGCTGCCCGCACCCCCCCCCAGGGTCCCGCGGAACTTTCTAGAGGCGCGGGCTTCGCACCGGTGGGGCAGGTGCCGCCTCCCCGCGCGAGGAGCCTCGGCTCCCCCTCAGAGAGCCCCCCGAGGCCCGGCGGGGCTGCTTCGCCCCGGGCGGCTGAGGGGCGAGGAGGCGCCGCCGGCCCGCGGCACTTACCGATGTCGGAGTTGCAGAAAGCGTCCTGCGGGTGGATGGGGACGCAAGTGCAAGCCTCCACCACCAAGTCCCGCAGGCTCCAGCTGCAGAGGAACACGACGAGGAAGCTCAGCCACGCCGTCATGTTGCCCCCGAGGTGCCTCCTCACTTCTGCGGAGCAGGAGGACAGCCGCTGTTTTGTTCGCCTGACTTTATTCTCGCTTCCTAACAGCCCGCGCGCCGCGATCGCCTGCCTGCCTGCCTGCCTGCCTGCCTCCTCGCACTGTCTCTGTCTCTCTCTGGCCTCGGCGGGACGGTGCAAGCCTGAGCGC